ATGGCCTTGGAAATTGGTTCTTGTGAAAAGGTTAATTATGAAAGCCTGAGAAATGGACCCAGCCCACACCGCTTGCTGGCTGGCATGTGAGCATTCTGCCCCATTTTTGCCATGTGATGATCTACACTGCACCTGGACTATCAGCAAAAATGCCATCACTAGGTTTTGAACCGGTGGGACCTGCCTGATCAACTGTGAACTTCCAGAACCGTGATCCAAAGTAAATCTCATTCCTTCGTAAACAGCCTTTCCATTGTAGTCACAAAAAACTGGCCAATACAGTCTTTCTGTTAGGAATTTTTGTTTCAAGAAACATAAATCCAAACTGAGCTAGCTTAAGCAAACAAGAACTTATCTTTCATGTATTTGAGCTGCAGAAATGATAGAAAGCAGGCAAAAAGATTAAAGAATTAAAACATCTGCAAGTCTTTGCCTCCCCTCATCTCCCTAGTCTGGTGTTTTGTTTTGTTTTGTTTTGTTTTGTTTTTCCTGAGGAAGAATGAAACCATAGCCACTGTAACCTTGGGTATTCTTTCATGCAAGTACCTGAAAAGAAATTTGTGCCAGCACCAGTTAGAAGACACTGAGCTGGGGCAAGTACTGAGAAGTCAAAACAATCCCTGCAAGTCAGGAGTCACTGAAATGAAATGAGGGAGACATCTGTTCAGTGATCTGCATGTCCCAGAAAAAGGTGGCCATCTTTTCTCATCTCAGAGTCAGGTTGCTCTCTGGGCACCAGAAGGTTTCTGGATTGACCAACGGAATGATGCAGAGAGTGAAGAACATAGATGTAAAATACTCCCTCCATCCACACCTCTATGTCCCTTAAGTGAAGAAGACATTTTGTTTTGAGCAAGAATTATATATTACATCTCAGAAGGTGCATAGCACAGTGTCTCACTTTCCAGATGCCAATGAATATTATTGATAAGAGGAACAGAATAAATATGGCAAAAATTAGCTGCCAGTTTCTCTTAATCAAATGATTCAGGTCTTCACTGGTACAGAGGCAGTCTTTTATTTTCCCAGAAATGCTTTTATTTAAGGAATACAAACTTCATGCTTTTCATAAATACAATTTAGGAATATAGTGATTTCCCACTGTACCCACACTCTCACCCCTCTTCCTCTTCCCTCTTATATTCCCATTTTAATTTTTTTTACTAAGATCTATTTTCTGTTAACTTTATACATACAATTAACTCTATACTAAATAAAGAGTTCAACAAATTGAAAAAAAAACTTCTTCAACAGTCAATACAAGGGCTGTTCAAAGTCATTGCTTCTCAATGTGCTAATTTCACTTCTATAGATTTCCTTTTAGGTGCTATATTATCACAGATTAGGGAGAAAATCTGATATTTGTTCTTTGGGGACTGGCTTATCACTGTGATATTTTCCAGTTTCATCCATTTTGTTGCAAACAACAGGATTTCTTTTTTTACTGCTGTAGTATTCCATGGTGTATATATCCCATAATTTATCCAATCTTCAGTTGATGAGCATTTGGGTTGATTCTATATCTTAGCTATTGTGAATTGAACTGCAATAAACATGGAGGTACAGATAACTCTTTCATGTGCTGATTTCATTGCTCATGGGTTGATTCCCAGGACTGGGGTGGCTGGGTTTTCTAATTTCTTCTTTTTTTGGGGTCTGACTGTAAAATTTCCAGAGATTTGTCTTATAACTGGGATATTCTTTCTTCTGCCTCAAAAATATGCTTTCCACCATATTTTTATTTATTCTATTCTTCATTTCCCACATTTTGTTTTGATTTCTCTTTAAAATCTCAATTTCATGGGAAAAATTTTCATTCATATCATGTATGGGTCTCTTTAGTTTGTGGATTTGCTTCTGATTACTTCTAAATAATCTTATGATCAATCTGTTGAATTCCGTTTCTGGCATTTCATCAGTCTGTTCATCTTCACATTCTAGTATTGAAGTGTTGTGTTCTTTTGGGGACATCATGTTGTCTTCCTTATTCTCATTTCTTGAATTGCTGAATTCATTATTATTAGGCATTTGTGGAGATGCTTTTTTTTCCTCCTGTGATGGCTTTTATCTTTGAACTATACCTCTGTGGCTTAGTGAAGTGTCTGCTCTTTTAATAAATACCCAGAGGTGTGTGCTGGGTGTGGTCAGGGAGCTCTGTTCAGTGCTCCAGGGTGAGAGGAGTGTCCAAGGTGACACCCAAGTAGGGCACTGTAAATGTCCTCTTTTTCTTTTATTAATCAGAGGGGAGGTTTGTTCTGCTCTGCTGGTGTCTTCTCACACTCACCTCCTCTTCTCAAAGGAAACCAATGCCTGGACACTAGCCCCAGTGGGCACAGTTATCATTTGTACTAACACAAGAACCATACAAACAATCCATGCAGTCCTCAATGTGAACACAGATGCTGCAGCAATGACCCTCACTAGGGAATCAGGGAGCCTCAAGCACGTGGAGCCACCCACAGTGACTGCCCAAAGTCCCAGCCATACCCTGCACCCTCCCATGCAACCACAGTGTTTTCACAGTCCTAGCACACAAGATTCTCACAGTTACTAGCACTCAGCCCCTGTCAGTTCTCCAAAGCAGACTCCGGCATCTCCTCTTGGCTGGTTACTAGGCACATGAACAGGAGCTGGTGCAGCTGTTATGTATATCCAAAATGGCATACACCCTCTCTTGGCTAGTTACAGGACTCCAGTGCCAAGTGGTCAGTGACAGAGAAATATGCCCCCCTTTTTGCCTCTAGATTGGCAGGTACGCTGTACCCTACAGGGCTCCAAGCTGGACTCTCACCAGGCTCTTCCTACAGCTTTATCTCCAGTGGCTTGGGCTGCTGCAGTCTTGTCTCACTTCACTCCAAAGCTGGTGCTGAGCTCTCGGCTGCTGGGATCCTAAGTTGTGCATGTCCACACCCTCTACATAGGTCATAGTGTCCCTTTAATTTCCATAGAGTTTCCTCTGCAGTTTTCTCCCTAACTCTTCCCTGAGACTGCCCTCTCTCCAGTTTTTTTAAACTATCTTACCCTAGACTAGAGCAGTAAGCTCCCAACTTGTTGTACCATCTTTTCAAGGCAGTCTTGAGAATGTTCTTAAAGAAAACCAATTTTGTAAGTCAGAGTACTTCTGAAAGCTTAAAGGAGTAAAGAATAATTTAGCCTCATTTCTGTTACCCTTGCTCACATTGCCTTTTTGTTTCCTCTCTATGTGAAGTTGAAAAGTGAGGAATGTACATGTCCGAGTAATCATACCCTTTCACCTGGGCAGAGCTTCCCAAAAATATTTTTGGTAGCAACCTCATCCTCAGACTTAAAAAGTCCCTCATCTCCGTTTCAGATGTGCACACTGAAACTTTATTTTCTGGATTCTGTGTCATAGCAAGGATCTCAAAAATATAAAGCCTTTTAAACCACCTATGCCTCTTGAGAAAATTCCTACTACACTCCATTTATGAAGGCTGGATGATTTCATGTCAAATGGTAAGGAACATGGTTGTAAGCTCAAGTCCAGCAGTGATCTGTTATATCAACTGAAGGAAGGAAAACTACAATTTTCACTTTTTTTTCTCCAGAACAGTTTTTAAGTCAAAGATTATGTCCATTTTTTATGACATGTTCTGTAGACTATATATGATTCAACCTTTGCTGTGCAAGGTGTGTAAATTGTAATGAGACAATTTACTCCAAAGAGGGGAGGACTTAGAAGATATGATGTAATTGGTTTTATTTAAAATTACATTTTTGTGAACTGACTTTCTGTTAAGAAATCCCCAAGAGAGAATAGCTTCTGAGCTATCTTTAACAAGCAGTGTTCCAAATCCTATTCTATAATTCAGAGCATTTTATTTTATGAGAGAAGTCATATCCATTGCAGCTAGGTAAAGAGACCAATGACAACCAAATAGCATTGCAAAGCAACTTCATCTTTATTCTAAGGAAATGCATATACATTAGAGTATTAAATCCAAAGAGGAAATATCTGATATTTTTTTAAGTCTATAAGTAAAAGAAAGGTGTGGTCTTCAAAACAATTGATAGTAAACTTGTTTTACATTATTACATCACTGTAACAACAACATACACATTTTATGTGTCCTAGGAGGAGATATACTGGTAAATTGTGAGCAAACTGTGACATATTGTACACTATAGTGTGAATTCCTGATTACTCAAAGTTCTAACAATTTGGAAATTTACAAAGTATTTCCGTGTTTCTTTTATTTTACAAGAAGCATTAAGCATTATCAAGCAGGCAGGTGCTTTTCCTGTAGCCTCCTTGTCCCCTGTCAGTGTGCTACTTTATGTGGGACCTGCCTTCCCTGGCTCAAGAGTGACCCCTGCAGATTTCTTCTGGTTCAGCCCCAATTGTGAGTTATCTTCCAGTAATATTTGCACTTTACTTGGAGACCACTTAAATGATGGTTTTCTTCCCCCTCCGCAAGTCCACTTACATTCAAAGAACCCTAATGTGTGATGAGTTCATGGCTCTGTAGTCTTTCCCTCAGGTTGAGCCATCTCACTGGATGTGCTATGTGCCCCCAGTTAGTGGCAGCTCCACCATATACCAGAGTCTTAAAGATTGCTTAGGACTGAGTGAGTGGAGCCTTGGCTGCCACTTTGGAAAGATTGCCAGTGCTTCCATGGCAGCTTAGAGACCATCCCATTGGTCAGAAATGCCATGTTTTATATGGTTCAGTTGTATATGAATTGTAATGAGAGTTAGAAAAAAAGAAAACTGACATAGAATTTCTTTTCTTACAGATCTAAGCTGTTGAAAGGGTGCTCTTGGATAACTTCAGACTAATTTGGAAATATTCAAAAATATCTTGTGTATCCACATAGTAGAGAACCCTACAACAAAACACTGAGACCTCTGTCTAGTGTTCACACCTGAGAGCATATTGAAATTTTTAAAAAGCTTTCTTCCGAATGATATTAATACTAACACCACTTGTTTTCCAACCCAGCTAAGATCTTTGCTTAGGAAAGATGCATGTTTTCTGTGTTTAACCCACTTGTGTGTCACAAAGTAGCTTTGCTTCAGGTTGTTGGGGTGTGCCTGTGGTCAAGCCTGAATGGTGATTCTGGAGTAGAGCAGGGATCCCCATCTTATTACTTCCAACACACCTGAAGTTGTGACACTCACATCCTGAGCACCTGAGGTTTTTAGAATCTCTCTTGAGGCAGCACTTAATAAAGCACTTGAGAACTAAAAAGCTCAGTTCAATGAAATTCAACACCATGCACAAGCAGGAGGTGATGATCAAGAAAAGGATGAAGATTGTTTTCTCTGTGGGTCTGGAGATGAAACAGTCCACAGTGTTAGGACAAGGCTGCAAATCACACTTCAAAAGGTAAGGAACACGAAATCCATCATAGAGCTTATAAAATAAAACAAGGAAGCCAATTTCAAAGCCAGTTTTAACAATGAGGCTGATAATGTAAGTATACCATAGGCCTCCATCCATCATACCTGGGCTCACATAGAGTTTCTTTCTGTGCCTTTTCTCCCTCCCCTCACGATAGGCTACATGTAGAACTACGAGAAGAGAAGGCGTGGAGACCATAATTAGCTGTAAGGCCCAAAGTCTAACCTGGGATATGGGGAAGAAGTGGTCAAAACACACAGTTTCACAACCAGGCTGTCTAACGTTGCATTCAAATTCTCTCCGCTCATCTTTCCAGACGTGCTCTGCTGCTACTATGTAGACCAGCAAACGGAAGATGAACACAACAGCCAGCCATAGCCTCCCAGTCCCAGTTGAGTATTTATTTACTCCACTTAGAAGGTCTCTGAGGAACATCCAACTCATGGCTTAGTCTCAAAAGAAGGCAAGACTCTGCAAAAGAAAACAATTTCATCATGATTCAATTATTTCTATTCCACTCATAATTTGTACTGTCTTATTTGGGAGATTGTGAAAGACAAACTCCAATGGCTACATTGTAGCATCTCTGGATGTTGAAGGCTCTCTATGAATCCCATAGGATGTGCTCATTTTTTATACAAGGAAATGGTACAACTGGTCTGTGGACATACTTGATCCCATGCCCACTTTAATTTGAAATTTGGTTGATTTTCTCTAACATTCTACCACATTTTCAAGCAATTCTCTGGTCGAAAATCTTTCTGGTTTGCTGCTTTCCTCCAAAGATGGATGGGTTGTTACTGATTAGGGAAACATATAAATCCCATGGTGACACTGGTACCTTGAGATATCCTTCACATACCAGACTTCTGAAGTTCTAGTCTCACTTTCTGTACTCGATTGATGCTCCTCCTCAGTCACTGAGGGCTCTCCAGTGTCCTTAGCTGCTGTTACTTCCCATACCCTGCACCAGCAGCTGGACTTGCCTACAATTTGACAGTGAAAAGTGAAGCTTTCCAATATGAACTCAAATCTGTTGCTCCTTCATCCTCCAGATGGACTTGCATCCATACCCAGCTTTCCTTCTTTATCAGTTTGGAGGGAGAGGTCTCCTTTCTCTTGTATCAAAAAATTATTTCTGTTCTATATCTCATTCTTAATCTGTCCTATATTTTATATAAGGATACTTCAAAATGTTCAATGTAAATACATATTATGAAAAAACTCTAAATGTATTCCAAATATTTTTGTGCCAAAATAAACATCGGATTTCATTTTCCACAAGCATTTTGAAGTACCCTCATATCATCAACTTCCACTGACCCCTTTTTCTCAGCATTTCTTGCTATTTTTGGTTTCCAGGGTGTGAGGGGAATAGATGAATTTTCATTGCTTTTCTTCTGACACTTTTTCTTCTTTATCCCTTATTTCTGCTTCCTCAACTATTAGTCCTTACTGCCCTGCCTTCTCCCATTGCTTTGCTCCTCCTATTTCAATACTTTTGTTTGTCCAGTTCTTTTTTTTTTTAAGATTTATTTATTTATTTATTTGAAAGTTACAGAGAGGGAGAAGCAGAGAGAGAGAGAGAGAGAGAGAGAGAGAGAGAGAGAGATTCCATCTGCTGGTTCACTCCTCCAATGGCTGCAACAGCAGGGCTGGGACAGACTGAAGCCAGGAGCCAGGAGCCAGGAGCTTCATCCAGATCTCCCACATAGGTGCAGGAGCCCAAGAATTTGGGTCAACTTCCACTGCTTTCACAGGTGCATTAGCAGGGAGCTGGATCAGAAGTGGAACTTCTGGGTCTTAAACCAGCACCCATATGGAATGCTAGCATTGCAAGTGGTGGCTTTGCCCGCTGCACCACAGTGCTGGCCCCTGTCCAGTTTTTAAAAACCTCTGTCCTCTGCTCTGCTCTTATTCCACTACTTTCACTAGGAAATCTCATTCATTCTGTGGATTGAAGCGCTGCTTTCAAGTTCCTGACTCAAATCTCAGGTCTTTCCCAGATCTCCACGTCCCACCATCTCTGTTTATCATCTAAATGTTTCATAGGAATCAGAAGCATGTTATGTCTACATCTGAATTTATTAACTTCCTTGCTCTTTTTTCTTCCTTTTTTTTTAGTTTTTTAACTTTTAACAGATTCAATGTAGCTCATAAATAAAATTCTAAGAATACATTCTCTCTCTCTTTTCTTTCATTTTATATATATTCATATATATTCACAATATATTTTTAATTTACGTTATAGTCAAGGCTTAATGCTGCACCAAATAAATGGTTCAACAACTAAAAAGTGAAATAACCTATTTTAGCAGGAATATAGGCAAAGCTGTAAACAATAACTAAATTGAAAGATGACTATTTCACCCATATACAGAAAATTTTTTTAAATTAATTTTTTTAATTAAAGCTATAGTATAACATTCTTTTTTAAGATTTTATTTATTTATAAGGCAGAATTATAGACAAGGAGAAGGAGAGACATAGAAGTGTTCAATCTGCTGGTTTGCTCCCCCAATGGCTGCAAAAGCTGGAGCTGGCCTATCCGAAGCCAGGAGCCAGGAGCTTCTTCTGGGTCTCCCACACGGGTGCAGGGGCCCAAGCACTTGGGCCATCTTCCACTGATTTCCCAGGCCATAAGCAGAGAGCTGGATCAGAACAGGAGCAGCCAGGACATGAACCAGTGCCCATTTGGGATACCGGCACTGTAGGCGGAAGCTTAGCCTACTAAGCCACAACGCCAGCCCCAGTATAACATTCTTAACCACTGGTTCTTAACCATTGATTTAACAAAGATATAAAACAAAACTATATCTGCAGCAATACTGATATACACAGGGATGTCTTTTTTTGAGTTTTTGTTTTTTTATTTTTGTTTGTTTGTTTGTTTTTAATTTTACTTCCACACATAAAGGAGAATGTGTGGTATTTGTCTTTCTTTGGCTTATTTCACTCAACATGATGATGTCCAGTTGTATCCATTTTGCTACAAATGATAGAATTTCTTTTTTATAGCTAAATAATATTATGTTGTGTGTATATACCACATTTTCTTTATTCATTTGTCTGATGATGGAAACTTTGTTTGATTTCTTGATTTGGCTATTGTGAACTGCTGCTATAAACATAGTGGTGCAGGTATTTCTTTAATACAACATGTTCATGTCTTTTGGGTGTATATCCAAAAATGACTTCCTTGCTCTTTGATTCAGTTGTCTTGTCAGGTGGTGTTATCAGCACCCAAGCACCCAAATAAAAAATCCCAAATTCATCCTGATCTCCTTTTCTCATGAACCTTTTTCAATTGTCCATGAAGTTTTTTTTTTAACTTTTATTTAATGAATATAAATTTCCAAAATACAGCTTATGGATTACAATGGCTTCCCCCCCATAACGTCCCTCCCACCTGCAACCCTCCCCTTTCCCACTCCCTCTCCCCTCATGAAGTTTTTTTGATTCCTATTAAATTCTCTTGACTCCATCTCTAAGTCACTGCTGAAACCTCTCTCACTTCTTCAACCCTCCCTCTACTTCTATTTCCTGTCTCATTATCTCATCCCCAGTACATGCTCAGTGCTCTTTGATCTCTTACACCTCTCTCCATCTCTTGAGTAAAAATTCTGGGGAGCCCCTTCTGTATTTCAGAGACATTGTGTTTCTGGCCCTGTCTACTTCCATCTTGTCTTAAAATTGCACTCTGTAGCGTAGATTCCGACTTCCATTTGTTGGCTATGATCAGCACTTTATTCGGTGCTGTTGGTCTGTTGTAACCATTCTGAAATATGGGTTTTGTTTTTGAATTATCTTCATTTGTTTTGTAGTAGTTGTTAATTTGTTCTTTCAAATGAGAAGGCAGACACTGAGAATAGAAGTCACTTTCCCAAGATCACAAAATGAGAGGCACAGCCACGTTCTCAAGTCCAGTTTCTGTTGCTCTAGATCACGGTTTCTCAACATTGACATTTTGGATTGGAAAACTCTTTGTTTCAATAGCTGTCCTTTGCATTTAATGGATATTTATCATCATACCTAACCTTTAGATGCCAGCAGCAGTTTCTCCTCAGCCCACCACACACACACACTCATGCGCACACACACACCCACACACACATTTTGTGACAACCCAAAATGTCTCCAGACTTTTCCAAAAATGTTCTCTGAGAGGGAAAGTCTCCCTGATTGAAATGCTTTTAACTAATTCTGCCATAAGCAGAAGATGTGATCTAGAGCCCCAGGCCTGCCACTAATTTACTTTCTTTTTTCTAGGCCAGAAAACCATGCCTTTTCAGGTGCTATTTCGTATTACAAAAATCAGTTACTTCTTATTTTCTCCATAGATTCAGTGAAAAAAAATCATGGAAATGGGAGTGTGGGGGAGTCAGGGGATTAAGAAGCTTGGAATATTGTTACAATAGCACACCTGTCTCAGCACATAACATTATGTTTACAGAGGAGCAATATGGATCAAGCTCACATGGTGAGAAGATGAATGAAGGTTAACAGGTGATTTCAGATAAAACAAATATTCATGTGCATAATGTGTTATTCACTAGGACATAAATACTTCAATGTCCTTGGCGTTCAGGACACAAACAAAATTATATTAAATAAAAAGGATTCATTTTTAATCTACCAGAAAGGTTAATGTCTTTATGAATTATTAAAACAAAGCCCTTAAGATTAAAAAGTGGCAGGGTGGTATTATGTTTCATTTTGACATATGTCATTGGGCATTTATCCATATTACTAAAGAGGATATTCATGTATTATAAAACATTTGAAAGCACTTTGTTAGGTGTCTTAGAGAAAGGAAGAAGGTAAATATAGATTTAAACTGTGTTGCTAAAACAAAAGTGGTAAGAAAGTGACTGATCTTTGAATACAAAGAACTAATGTCAGAATTACAACTTCCATTTGACTGATAAATGCCCAGCCTACTTTCAAATTCTTTGCTGATGGAAAGACAAGAGATTTCTCATGGAGAAGAAGCATTTTAATGTTATTTGCCTAACTGAAGTGGTTTAGCATAGTGGTTAAGAACCTTCGTTCACTGATGGACTCCTCATGTTCATGTCCAAATTTGTCTGTGGTAATAATGGAACTTGTGAGACTTTCTTTAGTTAATATTTATGAAGCTCCCAAAGTAGGGTCTAGTGCAAGGTTGGTGCTCAGTAACCATTGTCATTATTATTTTCTTATTTTGCTATTGAAAACTTGGTTGTTGTCAAAGTGAAGCCTCCACATCATAAATTTATTACGTATTTAATTTAATTGCACATAATTAGGGGTACATTAAATATTTAATGCTAGTTCTATTCTTGTGAAGGGGTACAATAGTCAGAAATCTCTATGTGGTATATCTTTAAGCATTTTAAAGCCATGAAATCATTTGCTCAAGTTTTTGATATATTAAAAATAATTCCAGAGTCTCTTCTTAGCAATAGTCTTTAATTTATCCATTTTCTTAAATTTCCAATGATCCTTTCTAATTTTTAATGGAGTTCTTACCAATTCTAATAACCCAATACTCCCATGACGTTCTCCCTTCACTTAAGAAGTAGCAGTTTACTTCACAGGAATTTCATCTGGAAAATTCAATTAAACATTTCCAGAAAGTAAAATATGCAATATTTCCAATACCAAGAATGATTTTGAAAATTTTTCTCAAATATTTGATGTAAATTAAGAGTGGAATGGATATAAGGTGCAAGGAAAATGATATTTCTGCCTCCAAAAAAATGACATTGATCTGTATCACACATCATTTGCAAAAATCAATTCAAAGTGGATCTATGACCTAAATATAAGAGCTTAATCCATAAAACTTTTAGAAGAAAACCTAGGGGCAAGGTGCCATGACCTTGGATTGGATTTGATCCAGCATTTATACATGACAACAAAAGCATGGACAATAAAAGAAAAAATAGATAAATTGGACATCGTCAGAATTAAAAATTTTTGTACCTTGGGATTGTATCAAGAAAGTGAAAAGACAATCTCTAAAATGAGATAAAATATTTATAAATTATATAAAGATATAAAACCCCAATATATAAAGAACTTCTAAAAAATAAGACAACCTAATTTTTTAAATGAGCAAAAGATTTGAGTAAACATTTTCCAAGAAAGATATAGAAATAGCCACTGAACACATGAAAAAGTTCTCAAATCATTCATCATTATAGAAATGCAAATAAGAATGAGATACCACTTCAAATTTGCTAAAATGACTATAATTTTTAAAATATAAAAACTTGTGAGAATGAGGGGAAATTAGAACCATTGTATATTGCTGAAGAGAGTATTAAATAATGCAACCAATTAGAAAAATTTAGCATTCCCCAAAAAGCTAAATAGGGGTTTACCACACACCCCAGCATATATACTCCTAGGTTTATACACAAAATAATTGAAAACAGTGACTCAAACACATACTTGCATACCAGTGTTCATTGCAGTATTATTCTCAATAAGCAAAAGGTGGAAACTATCCAAGTGTCTTTCAACAGTTGAATGGATAATCAAAATGAGGTATGCACATATAATGGAATAGTATTCAGCCATAAAAGTAATAAAAGTCTGATGCATATTACAGCATGAATGAGCCATCAAGACATTATGCTAAGTGAAATAATCAAGTCACAAAAGGACAAGTGCTGCATAATTCCACTTATCTGAAATATTTAGAACAGGTAAATTCATATATACAGAAGTATGTTAGAGGGTACCCAGGGCTAAAAGGAAGGGAGAATTGGGAATTGCTGCTTCAAAGGTTGTAGTGTTTCTGGGAGTGATGAAAACTTTGAAAATAGGAGTGATGACTGAATCCTGTAAATGCAATGAATGCCATCAAATTATAGGCTCAAAATTAAAATGTAAACTTTGCCGGTGCCATGGCTCGAAAGGCTAATCCTCCACCTAGCGGCGCCAGCACACCGGGTTCTAGTCCCAGTCGGGGCACCAGATTCTTTCCCGGTTGCCCCTCTTCCAGGCCAGCTCTCTGCTGTGGCCCGGGAGGGCAGTGGAGGATGGCCCAAGTGCTTGGGCCCTGCACCCCATGGGAGACCAGGAGAAGCACCTGGCTCCTGGCTTCGGATCAGCGCAGTGCGCCGGCCGCAGCGAGCCAGCCGTGGCGGCCATTGGAGGGTGAACCAACGGCAAAAGGAAGACCTTTCTCTCTGTCTCTCTGTCTCTCTCTCTCACTGTCCATTCTGCCTGTCAAAAAAAAAATGTAAACTTTGTGTTATATATATTTTTGCCACAATAAAGCTAGAAAAGAACCAGGGTAGGAGGAGCCTACTTAAAAAATAATGATGCAATAGGGGCCCATAAACCCTAAATATTTTTTAAAAAGGAGTAGAAAAAAGTACAAAAGGAATAAAAGCAAAACATTAGTAATGCTTGTCAATGAGTAAATTTCTCATAATTTTGTTTATTATGACTTTCTCCATTGCCCGTATTTTCATGAAAATTTATTAAATATTAAAAAATAAATCTAATGAAAGACAAAAATCAAAGAGCCACCATGTGTTTACATATGTGTATGTGTTTTTTGTAACAAAATTAAATGAGGCTGTTTACAGAGTAGATGTGTGTCTATCAACCATTGAATTTATGCCTGGAAGTTACCATGTAGGAAGATTAGATGGTGGATCCTTTCCCGTCCTGCTTGCCTCTGCATGCACGTCAGTGCATCTCCAGTCCTCTTAACTCTGAAAACCAGCTCCTGTCTGCACCATAAGCGTATCATCCCGTCAACTTAATTATTCAAAATGAGCTTTGCTGGTACTTACTCCATCTTCCATTGTATCCCTCTTCCCAAAATGCAGCTCCTTCTCCAGTGTTCTCCACCTCAGTAAGTAGTACTAACATTCACCCAAGTAATAAAGCCAGAAACCTGGAAGTCATTCTTCCTCCTTCTCTCTTCATGAAATAAACATGCAATCTACATTCAAAGCCAGTGTTTTTACCTTTCAAATATATTCCAGAACTTTTCACTCCTTTCATCTGTACTGACACCATCCAAATCCAAGCCACTCTTACCTCCTTCCCAGAATACCATAATAGCTTCCTGTCTCCCCACTTATCATTGTTGGCCCCTCCAACCTCTTATCCATTCCGTAGTTATATTAACATTTAAAGTGGATATCATATATACAATTTCACTTCTCAGCTTAAAGCTCTATGATGGCTTCTTATTGAATTTAGAGTAGGGAAAGAAGTCCAAATCCTTATCTTGATGACAATAGCCTGTGTTCCGGTGCCCTTGCCTGTCTCTCCAATGCCACTCTGCAATCACCAAGGGCCACTGGATTCCAGATGTGTCCCCTTGCTTCAGTTTCTCCTTTAGACCCTATGTCCATTGTGTCCCTCCTTCCTGCATTGCTCTTGTCCCCTCCACCTGAATCAGAATGGCTTTGCTGGACCTCATCCATCTAAATTAGGTCTTCCTTGGTATTCTTGTTTGTAATCTTGCTTTATTTTCCTTCATGCCACCAATAACTTGTAATCACATATACTATGTGATAAATATCTGTACATACTGTGTGTTCTTTAAAAGAATGGACTAGGACTAGTGTTGCCTGATTATGCAAATAAAAATGTAGGATGCCTAAGAAAATTTGAATTTCAGACAATTTTCTAGCCTAAATGTGTCATTTAATATTTTATATATTTATACTAAAATAGGATTCATTGTTTATCTGAAATTCAAATTTAGCTGGGCAGTCTGTATCTTTTTTGGCAATCCAAGCAAGTGTCTTGACTGCTCATTATTGCACATCCAGAGATTAAATAATAGTGCAAAGTTCAGCCTCTCCAGGACTCAGAAATTCTCCTAAACACACTTGGCCACATTGACCATTCTTTTCTTCAATCCAGCCTCTCTGCTCTCCATCTGAATATGTAACTCCTTTTCTCCACTAAACTCAGCTCTGAGAGCCCATCTTCCTTTAATTCCTACCCATGTTGAAGAAACAGATAATCCTGCCTCATCTCTATAAGGAAAGCAAGTTAGGTGTGTCCCCAGATTCCCTCCTAAAACCCATTCTGCACTGACATTAGATTAAAATGCTTTTTCCTTCCTATTATCCCCTCACTCAGGAATGTATCACATTTGAAATGAATGTCAAATTCTCACCTTGACATTCAACGTCCTGCCTAATCCAACGCCCTTATATTTACCAGCATTCACCAATAGCCTTGCCCCACATCTCCCTATCACAAGCTCACACATCATTCTCACCTCCTTGTGCTTGCTGGTGCTGCTTCTCCCTCTTCTGCATTCTCAAGTCCTACCTTCTCTTCATAGCCTCACAGATACTGAGTTTTGTCTCTTCATATTCAGTAGTCCCCAAACCTTAGCACATTATTTTAGCACTTGCTGATGTAACACCTGAACCAGGCTCCCATAAAGTATTTTTTTCTCTGTAAAAGAGCTTATATGTTGCATGGAGTTGGGGGACTGTGTTTTTTATTTGTTTTGTCTCCTTGAAAGTGCTTAGCATGAAGTAGCTAGTTAGTACTTATTTGTTAACTAAACTTACATAAAGAAGCAGTAAAGTTGATCCTCAGGTGAAATAGTCTCTAATTTCTGTGCTCTTTGTCGCCAAATAAATCACTCCTGGTCTTCAAGGGCTTTGACTCTCCCTGTTGACTATACTAATAGAATTTAGTTAAAATATGAGAGATTAATTTTCAGATTTCTTTGCTATTATATCTGATGTCAATATTGATGATTTATTAAGAGATACTCATTTCTATTTACTCAAATAACTTTAAATTGTGAACTTATTGCAATGGATAGTTTTTATTACTGACATCAGCACTAATTCAAATATTTCATAATTTTATTAAAAATGCCAAGTAGATGGATAGGAATTTGGCCTAGTACTTAAGCTACCAGTTGGGACACCCACATTTCATAGCAGAGAGCCTAAGTTTGGCTCTTAGCTCCTATCCAGATTCCAGTTTTTGTGCTAATGTGCACTCTGGGAGGCAGCAAGTGATGGCTCAACTAGTGAGTCTCTGCCACCCATGTGAGAGACCAGCACTGAGGACCCAGCTCCTGGCTGCAGGCATCTGGGGACTGAACCAGCAGATGGGTCTCTCTCTCTCTCTGCATCTCAAATTAAAAAAAATTCTAAATAGAATGTGTTCAAGAAATGGAGACAGGGTATATGTGGGTGCATATTCATGAATGTGCTATGGGGATGAGAAGTTAGAATCCTCTAGTAGGAATTGCTAATTGTTTTAACCCTCTTCACAGCAGATGGCTCTCTAATCTTCAGAATGGGGACCTTCGAGTAGAAGTGTTGTGTAAATGCAAAATTTAAAATAACTATTCCCTGTGTGCTGCATATTCAGGAGTCACAACCAAATGAAAATCTAAGGATAATAAATTTATACATGTAAAATTCCTCTTAAAAGGAACTAACATGCATTAGTATAGCATGAGTAAATAAATAAAAATAAGTAAGTTCATCTGAAGTGCTCATGAAAGCACTCATGAAATATCAACAATTTAAATACCATTGTCATCAGCATCAAACCAGTAAAACTTGAAGGACCCCCAAAACATCAACCAAAAAACCTTCACCAGTTATTCTAAAATCCTAACTGAGCAAAAGAAATTAGAATTACAAGCACAGGCCTCCATAAAATGCAACATTCTGGAGTAACAGCACAGTCAATTCAATTTAATTCAGAATTTGGAGACAAATACTGTACCTCCTTTGTGTGTGAAATGAGTAAAATTATCCTGGGAAAGGATTAACCATTATAAAAGAAATTCACTCCAACTGATATAAACAGACAGATAGGATAAAATCAATTAGATCTGTAAGCTGGAGACCATACCCCCTGTGTGCATTGTTCTACACATTGGGGAAAGATTATAATATACAAATATAAAATATTTAAACACTCAATTTTATTTTAAAAAAACAAAGATTCTGAATTTTCTGGAACAATCCCTATTGCAAACATGCTAAGCTATTGTTGGATCTAGTAAGAATTTGTGCAGGTCTTTAGGTTCAGAAAATGAGTCACAATAACCAGATTGTAAAGACAAGGATAACTAATTCATTTGACTTTTCTACATCTTGGACTAAAAGTCCATAGCAATTATTTGATTCTCCTTATTCCAATTTCCCAAGCCATCTTCTAAGCAGTGGTTTTCTTGTAGAGGTTCTTTTTGCCGTGCAAAGTTCTCTTGAGAATGGATACAAGAGTCCCAGTTACTGGAGAGGCACTTTACAAATCAGACTCCCCTGTGTTTGTATAATGTGTCGAGTCCCCTGGAGCAGACTTAACTCTGGGTAAACTGGACCCTTGAGTTTCTGAAACTTTGGAACTGAGCGTTAACCCCCGAATGTGGTGATACTGTTGCGGCACCTGTTGAGCAGCCCACCTGCTCTTCCATTGCTGCAGGATGAACCCTTACCAAGCAGCAGCACAGGAGGCTTCCGTTCTTGCACGACTCAGGCCATGGCAATCTAGTCTTCATAAGGGAAGGCAGGCAAGGCTTCCCCACCCAGTCGCCTCTCTCTACTCTGAATGGTCACATACAAACTGTTTGAAAAGCCCTTGCACCACCAGGAAGCAGGGCGCTGCTTTGCAATCACCAGAACGTATTGCTTTGAAACTTGTGTTTGAGGGGCACCACATTTCTGATTGCCTTACAGACTTCCATGGACAATCCTTGAAAAAGCCATCAGCCCTTCTAGCCAGTTCCTCTCATCTCTGTCTAACAGTAATAGCTATCCTTGGATAGCATTTGAGCATTTCCAAAGTGTCCCACAGCATCTCACCCGCTCCTCACCTCCCTTCTCAGGAGAAAGCAGAATGTATCCTACAACCCCCAATTTAGTGATGAAGAAACTGAAACTCAGAGTGTGGGAGACTCAGGTTAAGACAGCAGCTTAGCTAGCAGCACAACCCAGGTCCTGCATGCTGGTCTGCAGCTCCCCGCCAGAGCTCCAGGTCAACTGACCCATCTGGAACCCTGCTCTCCTTTCCACACAAATCACATACCTTATAAGGAAGAGGACTTCTTCTCCTGGGCTGCTTTTAACCCTGAGGCCTGCTGTGCTTGTTGACACCTGCGAAGTCTTGAACTCCCTGTTTGAAAACAAGGCATTTTTATTTTTAGAGATGGTGAATTTGGAAAATAGTGTTTCTGAAACCCAGGATCTTTGGCCTCCTGAGTCTCTGTTGTTATATAAGAGTCCATGGGAAGTTTATATGTATGATATTGTTTTATTATGTTAGAAGACAAATATACACAATAAACAAAGTTTCTGGATAACCAGCTCACAGCCAAGAACCGCCACAGAATTTTAAAATTTCTGCACTCATATTTCTGAGGGCTCAGTAAACTACACAGCCCTCAGGCCAAAAAATCCAGCCTATCTGGCCATTTTTGACATTATTAAAACAATAATTGACTATTGCCTAACACTCCTTTTATACTACAGTAGGAGAATTGAGTTGTCATGACACAGACAGGTTGAAATTTAAAGCCTGAAGTATTTACTACCTGACCCTTTGCACAAAATGTTTATATTGTGCTTAAAATCACATTGGAACCAAGCATAGAACATTGATTATCTGAAAATATGAGAAACAACACATGGTGGGTTGTGCTCAAGAGAAAGCCAGATGAAGCCACAGTGGGTGGACATACAGCATGAGTGAAGCCTGTTAGTTGTTTGAATGGAGACAAATGGTGGACCATGAGCTGTCATCAGGCAGGCCCAGCTTACAGGATCCAGGCTCCTGCTGTCAGTAGTTACTTGAGTAATGGTTTAGTTCCAGCCAAACAATATCTTTTTTTTTTTTTTTTTTTTTTGACAGGCAGAGTGGACGGTGAGAGAGAGAGACAGAAAGAAAGGTCTTCCTTTACTATTGGTTCACCCTCCAATGGCCGCTGCGGCCAGCGCACCGCGCTGATCCGAAGCCAGGAGCCAGGTGCTTCTCCCAGTCTCCCATGCGGGTGCAGGGCCCAAGGACCTGGGCCATCCTCCACTGCACTCCCTGGCCACAGCAGAGAGCTGGCCTGGAAGAGGAGCAACCGGGACAGAATCTGGAGCCCTGACCGGGACTAGAACCCGTGGTGCCGGCACCGCAGGCGGAGGATTAATTAGCCTACTGAGGTGCGGTGCCGGCCCAAACAATATCTTTTGTCTGATGAACTTTCTTTTCAATTTTATTGGCTTTGTGATGTTTAATTTTACCTTTGTAGACACACAAGAGCCATAAAGCTAAGAATTTTACATCTAGTATTAGGTTTTATGCATACAAATCACATTTTACTAAACAAAATAAATTTCCAAAGCTGGGAGTCCATGAAAAACACTAAGTGAAAAGAACAGGATCCACACAAGCCAACATGTACATACACACTACTTACAAGATATTTCAATCCCTTGGTATGAATATAGGCATGGTTATTTATAGAGAAGCCCCAATTAAGCAAAGTGCCAAGGTTGCACTTAATACACACAGGATTGATTGCTAAAAGGTTCTAGGCTGTTCCTCTGTGAGCCTGTGGCTCTGCTCATTCACATTAGTCCGTATGCTCTGTACTTAGGCCAAGAATCCTTCCTTAGCCACAGCCTCTGAAGGCCCTCAAGTAAATCACTCTTTGCAAAGGGGCAAATTTGTTTCATGGCCGCATACTCACAAAAGTATGCAGCGTGAATCTGAACGGCAGTAGGTCAGGGTTTGTAATTACTGAGGAATACTTCTGTCAATGAAACTTTTGGGAAATAAGTAATGACAATCCAATTGTATAAGAAATGCAATTCTCTTATTAAATAGACATTCTACCTTACTTAAGGTATACTAAGCTGATCTTCTGTATACTAAGATAATCGAAAATGAATCTTGATGTGAATGGAAGGGGAGAGGGAGTGGGAAAGGGGAGGGTGGTGGGTGGGAGGGACGGTATGGGGGGGAAAGCCATTGTAACCCATGAGACGTACTTTGGAAATTTATATTCATTAAATAAAAGATAAAAAAAAATAAAAAATAAAAAAAAAATTTAAAAAAAAATAGACATTCTATGTAAGAAAAAGAAGCTTAGCTTACCTCTTGACACAGATATGGAGATTAAGAGATCCAGGTGGTTAGTGACTTGATTATTATGTCTGCGAGGGCAAACTATTGCTTGAAGCCCAGGAAAATGGAGTCTAGTGGTTTCCAAGGTGGTGTAAGCAAAACAGGTGTAACTTGATCTTTTGCTTGGCTCAAAACTTAGATGAGGATTCTTGGGTGTCTGCTGTTTACAGTATACGTTGAAAGAGAACTGAAGCTGGAGATAAGAATTCAGTCATTCATGTACACGCAGTTCGTTGACTACTCCTATTTATAAACCTTTTCATCATCCACACAAAGAAGCGAGAACAATAGGAGAGCTTCATCTCTTCAAATGATTTTCCAAGGTTTTATCAAAAACTCTCTACAGGCCGGCGCCGCGGCTCAGTAGGCTAATCCTCCGCCTAGCGGCGCCGGCACACCGGGTTCTAGTCCCGGTCGGGGCGCCGGATTCTGTCCCGGTTGCCCCTCTTCCAGGCCAGCCCTCTGCTGTGGCCAGGGAGTGCAGTGGAGGATGGCCCAGGTGCTTGGGCCCTGCACCCCATGGGAGACCAGGAAAAGCACCTGGCTCCTGGCTCCTGCCATCGGATCAGCGCGGTGCGCCGGCCGCAGCGCGCCTGCCGCGGCGGCCATTGGAGGGTGAACCAACGGCAAAGGAAGACCTTTCTCTCTGTCTCTCTCTCTCACTGTCCACTCTGCCTGTCAAAAAAAATAAAAATAAAAAAAAAAAACTCTCTACAAAAACTAGACAAAAGAAAATTTCAAGTTAATTTTGTTTAATGAATTTCACTTCCTATCTCCTATTCTTAGAAGTCCATAAAATTTAAAAGGCATAGTTTCTGTGTTAATATATGATATAAATTTAATGGATAATATTACAAAAGAATCAAACAGTGCGAGAGTAAAGAGAAAGATAAAAATCATTTTCCTCAACCCAATAATACTTGATAACAGGTGTTCCTATGTATATAAGCAGACAGATTTGAGGCAGAGGGTTTTAAAGTATTTTATCTTTTCTTGGAACTATTTCTAGGCATGAGTTTATATAGAATTAAAGCTATGTAGAAATGAAACAAATTTTTTCCTCTTGAAAAGAGAATAGCTTAGAAACATAATTTTACAGCTGGAAATGTGAAATGTCATGAAATTCAATGCCTGCACATTTTAGAGATGAGAAAACAGAATGACAGAATGACCTGCTTCAGGTCTCAGAACCTGTTCAAAAAACAGAAAAGAGCTGGGGATGAAACCCGAGTCTCTTCTCTCACACGTTAGCTGATCTATAGACTGTGTGAGTTTCAGTGCAGATTTTCTCTGCTCACAATGTTTATTACCTTTAAAAATTATTCCACATATCCATACATTAAATCCAAAATCAAAACAGAATGCAGTTTATTTTTAAAAATCATCAATTACTGGATCAACATTTTCCATACCCAATAAAGCACATCTTGTTTCTGCTTTGTATTTTTCAAGAGATCTCCGGATCCCAGGATGTTGATCCAATTCCTAAAGGGTTACTTTACAATAAGATCCCAAAACTGCCTCTGGAATTGTTCATTCCTTTCCGTCTCCACTCCTTTGTTTGTTATTAGTACTCATCAAGCTTTATCCTTGATCTTAAAGCACTGTCTGTTTGCACTGAGACCCCTTCTGCTAGAAACAGTTTGGCAACGTTAGGACAACCTTGAAAGTGCCTATACTGAACCCACAGGCACTGAGGCACTGAGAGCATCCCAGCTTTCCAATACTATCAGCCCTAGGAGTGGGCATTTTGGTATACTGGGTTAAGCCACTACTCGGGATGCCCACATCCCGTACTGGAATGCCTAGGATCAAGTCCCGCCTTTGCTTCTTGTGGGGAGCAACTCGGACTAGACTAAGTTACTGGAATTAAGACTTATTCTATGCATCTGCTCTTTCACAATATGGTGCTGAGAAGGGAGAAACAGCTTCTACTCAGCTGCCTCCAGTTCAACCAATAAACTGTAGGACCTGCTCCTGATTGGAGGAGAGCAGCGTACTCGGCATGTGGGTAGCAGAGTTGGGATTGGTGGAAGAGGACTATAAAGGAGGAGAGAGACAACATGCACCAGGAACATCTGAGGGAACATCTATCTGAAGGAACACCTGTGCAGCCCCCGAGAGAGCCGGCCGGCGGTGTGCCGCTCCCCTGCGGAAGTGGGGAAAGTGGCTAGGGGGAACCGCCCTTCCACAGAGGTGGAAGGGTCGGAAGCCAACCCGGGAAGAACCAGCAGCAAACCCGGGGAGGGCCGAGCAGACGAAAGAACAGCGCAGGGTCCTGTGTCGTTCCTCCACGAAGAGGGGGAGTGACACTTCTAACCCAGGTTCCTGCTGATGTTCATTCAGGGAAGCAGTAGTTGATGGTCAAAGTATTTACATCCCTGCCAGAGCTGTTGTGGGCACTTGGGGAGTGAACCAGTGGATGGAGGAAGATCTCTCTCACTCTCTCTCTTTCTCTCTCTCTCGCTGTTTTTCTCTCTCTCTCTTTCCTCCCCTTTCACCCTGATTCCTTTCAAATAAATAAAAATAAGCTTTTTAAAATAGTATCTGGGTGTCCCTGCCACCCACGTGGAACACAGGAACACAGATTGAATTCTGGACTCATTGCTTTGGGCTGGCCAAGCCCTGGCTGTTGAGAGCATTTGAGGAGTGAATCAGCATTGGAAAATCTCTGTCTCTCTGTTTTTTCAAGTAAAATGAAAATAAGTAAATAGATAACATCAGCACTAACATAAATAATAATAGCATGCAATGATCCAGTAGGACAGAGATGTAATTTGCTAGAAAAAGATCTCTCAAGGATCTTTCTGGGTGTCACAGAGAAGCTAGAAGGAGAAAGTGCCAAGAAGAGAGGGCAGTCGGGAGAGGATCTATAGAGAGATGGGTACATTCAGATCTTTATAAAATGAGCTTCCTGAATTAAATGAGTGCTGGACGTAGTGTCTATGCTATGCTTTTGTCCTTTTAGGAGTTTTATTTCTTTATTTGGAAGGCAGAGCTACAGAGAGAGAGAGAGACAAAGAAAGATCTTATATCTGCTGATTCACTCGCCAAATGACTGCAATGGCTGAGGACAGGCCAAGCCAAATCCAAGGGACTGGAACTCTATCCTCATTTTCAAGTTCAAGAACTTGGGCCATCTTCCACTGCCTTCCCAAACACATCGTCAGGGAGCAGAATCACAAGTGGAGCAGCCAGGACTCAACCCAATACTCTTATGAGATGCAATATACTCACGTATTCTATATCTGTATAAAATATTCAGTCTTAATATGATGTATTTTATATATTTTTCATATGCAAATTTTAACATCCAAACAATACCAACAATAGATGCTGGAGAGGATGTGGGGAAAAAGGGACACTAACCCACTGTTGGTGGGAATGCAAACTGGTCAATCCACTATGGAAGTCAGTCTGGAGATTCCTCAGAAACCTGAAGATAACCCTACCATTCAACCCAGCCATCCCACTCCTTGGAATTTACCCAAAGGAATTTAAATTGGCAAACAAAAAAGCGGTCTGCACCCTAATGTTTATTGCAGCACAATTCAATATAGCCAAGACCTGGAACCAACCTAAATGCCCATCAATGGTAGACTGGATAAAGAAATTATGGGATATGTACTCTTTAGAATACTATACCGCAGTAAGAAACAACGAAATCCAGTCATTTGCAACAAAATGGAGGAATCTGGAACACATCATGTTGAGTGAAATAAGCCAGTCCCAAAGGGACAAATACCATATGTTCTCCCTGATCGGTGACAACTGACTGAACACCAAAAAGGAAACCTGTTGAAGTGAAATGGACACTATAAGAAAGGGTGACTTGATCAGCATAGCCCTGACTGTTAATGAACAACTTAATACATTATCCCTCTTAGTAGTTTTTTTTTGTCTGTTCTACTTAATATGACTGGTTTAATTCTGTAATTAATACACAGTTATTCTTAAGTGTTTAAATTTAACTGAAATGTGATCCCTGTTAAACATAAGAATGGGAATAAGAGAGGGAAGAGATGTACAATTTGGGACATGCTCAAGCTGACTTGCCCCAAATGGTAGAGTTAGAAACATACCAGGGGACTCCAATTTAATCCCATCAAGGTGGCATGTACCAATGCCATCTCACTAGTCCAAGTGATCAATTTCAGTTCACAATTGATCATAATGAAAGGACTAAGAGTCAAAGGGAGCACATAAACAAGTCTAGTACCTGCTAACACTAACCGATGGAATAAATAAAGGGGAGAGTGATCCAACATGGGAAGCGAGATACTCAGCAGACTCATAGAATGGCGGATGTCCTAAACAGCACTCTGGCCTCAGAAATAGCCCTAAAGGCATTCGGATCTGGCTGAAAAGCCCATGAGAGTATTTCAGGCATGGAAAGCCAAGACACTCTGGCAAAAAAAAAAAAAAAAAAAAAAAAAAAAAAAAAACTAAATGAAAGATCTCTGTGAGTGAGATCCCAGTGGAAAGAACAGGTCTTCAAAGAAGGAGGTACCTTTCTCTGAAGGGAGGAGAGAACCTCCACTTTGACTATGACCTTGTCTAAACAAGATAAGAGTCAGAGAACTCAAGGGGCTTCCATAGCCTTGGAAACTCATGACTGGTGCATAGGGAGATTACTGATGCCATAAACAGGAGTGTCAATTGGTAAAGTCAACAACAGGAGTCACTGTGCACTTACTCCTCATGTAGGATCTCTGTCCTTAATGTGCTGTACATTGAGACTTAATGCTATTATGAGTACTCAAACAGTATATTTCACTTTGTGTTTCTATGGGGGTGCAAACTGTTGAAATCTTTACTTAATGTATACTAAACTGATCTTCTGTAAAAAAAAAAAAAAAAGAAGAAGAAGAAGAAGAAGAAGAAGAAGAAGAAGAAGAAGAAGAAATTAGCAATTCCCAACTTGACTCTCACTGGGATTAAACATGACAATAGGTCTGATCTGATTTCATCATCATTTAAAAAATAATCTATTATTTTTCACTTTATGTTTCTGTGTGGGAGCAAACTGTTGAAATCTTTACTTAATGTATGCTAAACTGATCTTCTGTATATAAAGAGAATCGAAAATGAATCCTCATGTGAATGGAAGGGGAGAGGGAATGGGAAAGGGGAGGGTTGCAGGTGGGAGGGACGTTATGGGGGGGAAGCATTGTAATCCATAAGCCGTACTTTGGAAATTTATATTCATTAAATAAAAGTTAAAAAAATCCAAATTAGCTTAAATTTATTATTCTACTTGAGTATGAGGATATTTTATTTGATTATTTTATATTTTGGTGTTTATCAAATCCTCTTTATGAACCATGAATTCATTCTAT